CCCTTCACCCTTCACCCTTCACCCTTTACTCTTCACTCTTCACTCTTTACCCTTCACCCTTCACCCTTCATTCTTCACCCTTCACCATTCACTCTTCACCCTTCACCCTTCACTCTTCACTCTTCACTCATTACCCTTCACCCTTCACCCTTCACCCTTCACCCTTCACTCTTCACTCTTCACTCTTCACTCATTACCCTTCAACCTTCACCCTTCACCCTTCACCCTTCACCCTTCACTCTTCACTCTTCACTCATCACACTTCACTCTTCACTCTTTACCCTTCACCTTTCACCCTTCACCCTCCACCCTTCACCCTTCACCCTTTCAAGTGAAGATGTGGTCTCTTGTGACTTTCGAGATGAGCTTTGCCGTCCGGCCCAGGCCAGGCTTCTAGTCCACTCAGTCCACTGCGTCGCGCATTCCGGCTCTTCTGCTTTTCCCTCCCAGTTGCTCCTCTCATTCTGGCCGCTCACCTGCGCACCGGCCTCGAGCCTGGCCACCGTCCAGCGGCTGAGGCCCACTTTCCTTGCAAGTTTGCCCAACTGGCACCAAGTCAAAGCGTTGCTGGCCGCCAAATGGCATCTGTTCCAGCCAGTCCCTCGGCAACTCTGGTTCCTTCAAGTTCTTGCCATCCTCACCATTCGCCAGAGCTTGTTGGCCTCCGGCCCAATCCAGCTCAGCCCAGGCCTTCGCCGAGTCCCGCCAGCCTCGAACCCACAACCATTCGTCCCGGCCAATGGCGAAAGGAGACAGCGCCCATTTCGGCAACGACCACACTCGACGAAGTAGATTCAGAGTTGTCGCAATTAGTCGGGCAAGCGTCGCTTGTCGGAATGACGGGTACGAGGTCCATGCAACTATAATTGCAGCTACTACTACTGCCACCATTACTACCCTCACCCCCACCCAAACTATTATTAATACTACTGCTGATTGTAAATGAGACAAAAATGCTTAATGCACATAAACTGTAATCATATATTGTGTGGATGAGCTTCCGAGACATCTTTCAATGAGCTGGGGTCAGGATACGAACGGTCTGATGGTTAAGTTTCACATTATGCAATACCAAATGAAGGGCTTTCTTGATAATCTCGAGCACTACTCACTTGTTAGAGAGTAGTGTAAAATGCAATTGCTCAGACTGGCAAAGTTTGCAACGGACGCGGCCCAGCTCGCCTCGAGAGTGGCATCCGCGCTGTCTGTGACCCAGTGACGGGCGTAGATGGGGGCCAAGTGTGAGCGAAAGACATCGCGAGCCATTTTGCCCATTTCTCACGAGAAAACTCAACTGTCAAAGTCTGTATCACCTCAAGCGACCTCGGCTGCCTCGGGCGCTTAAGAGTTTAAGTGAGGACTGGCTGGAGTTGGGCGAATTTGTGGCTGATTTGCGTGCCAAGAGCAGATGGTGACATGGCGAAGAAAGTGAAGGAGAATTCCAAACGTTGCTGAACGCAATCGACGGGAATATGAAGTTGACCATGAAACTAGAAAAGGAAGATAGTCAACCTTTTCGAGATGTCTTAGTTGGCAAACAGAGACGCAAACTGGATAGGATGCTGTACGTTTCTTTTCAAAGCACACTTATAGGGTTAAAGTGAGAGTTATGAAATGCAGGAGAATAAGGAGACTACGTCTTGCTGATAGTAACAATTGTGAGGAAAAAAGGAGCAGATTATGTAGAATATTAGTAATTGAGAATTGCTTTAAAAGTCGAGCAAATTGGATGGAGAGAAACAGCTATTTGGGGCAAGATAGA